GTCCTACACACACTGGCCAATCTAAGGTTCCTAAAATCCAAACTTTCATCATGTCCTTTCTTTCTCTGCTTAGTCAGTAAGATGCCACATTGCTTCTTACCTGCTCAGATCTAAACTTTGTTGCTTGCTAAGGCTGTTTGACATGGGGGCTACGTGCCCCAAATGTGGCCTGCTATCCGTCCAAGTTCTAAAATAGGAGCTGATTGGCATTCACCAGGTCAGGTGGAGAGCTTCATGCCCAAGGCATGCTCCCGAGGCTAACAATCCACTCAGCTATTGGTAGAAAAGGCTCCCACGAGGAGTCAGTCAGCAAGCATTTTTTAAGTGCCTACTTTGTGCCAGGCATTGAACTTGGATCTGGGAACCCAGAGCCAATCATGACATGTTTTCTGCTCTCCTGGAGCTTACATTCTAATGGGGGAGATAATATGAGCATGTATGGGTACACAGAAGCTATAAAATAGTTTCTATTTATCAAGTTCTTTAAGGTTTGCAATGTGCTTCACATACGTTGTCTCATTGGAGCTTCACAGCAACACTGTGATATAGGTGCCTTTATCATCCCCAATTTGGCTTGCCCAGAATCATAAATAATAGGTCATTTGGATGAAATTTAAATCACATTATAATAGAATTTCAGACCTGGGAGAGACCTTAGAGATCACTCCCTGCCCCATCATTTTATAGGTGAGAAATTAGAAATTGGGAGAAACTGTGACTGGACAAGACCATAAAATCAACTAGTTTCAAGGTAAAGTCAAGATAAAATGCTGTAAGTAAAAATTAATCTGTAAACATAGCAAGTGTTTATGAAAAATATTTCGACAGGAAAACAGGATAATGCTATGACCAGTGCAAACCAGGAGCTCCACAAGGAGTCCAGGAAAAGCATCGTCAGAGAGTCAGCTGATTGTCATCACTGTCCCCCAGGACTGTCCAGTGACCAGCTGTGCTAAAGGTTGCAGCCTCCAGGGATGGCTCTCTCCTGAGGGGAGAAGAGAGCTATGGTTTGACAGCTATATTTTAAAATATAGCTATATTTTAATTTTGTGTTATTTTTGTTAGTTTTCAACATTCACTTTTATAAGATTTTGAGTTCTAAATTTTTTTCTCCCTCACTCCCCTCCCCTCTCCCCCAGACAGCATGCACTCTGATATAGGCTCTACATGTACAATCATGAAACATATTTCCACATTAGTCATGTTGTGAAAGAAGAATCAGAACAGAAGGGGAAAACCACGAGAAAGACAAAACAGAAAACAAACAAACAAAAAAGAGAAAATAGTATCCTTCGATCTGCGTTCAGATTCCATTGTTCTTTCTCTGGATGTGGATAGCATTTTCCTTGATGACTGTATTTCATGAAATGAACTCTCTTTTTACCAAAGAACCTCTGATCTCATTTTGTTTCCTAAGTTAAACCTAAATTGCTGTAACTTCCCTCTATCCTTCCTTGCATCAATATAATCTAGAATCTTCCCTATTCAAATTAAAGAAATACAGTTAAGAGAAAAAATCCACAAGCCCTGTGTTAGACGGTGTCTGCATTATTCTGCATTTGTAGTCCACCACTTCTACTGAGAGAATACTCTTTTTTTTTTTTTCCTGCTGCAGCAGTCAAGGTTAAGCCCAGGGTCACACAGCTAGTAAGTGTCAAGTGTTTGAGGTCGCATTTGAACTCAGGTCCTCATGACTCCAAGACTGGAGCTCTATCTACTGTACCACCTAGCTGCCCCTTATACTCCATATTTTTAAAGAAATTATTTTTTTATGAACTTCTCAGACATGAATATTTCCATATACAAAGGACAGAAAAAGATTGTGTGAAACCATGAATATTATGTATAGTTTGTTTTTTCAAGTACAGATTACATTTTAACACCATATCAGTACTGCCCTGCTTGTCTGTGTCCCTCTCTGAATTTCCTTCTCTCTTTGGTGTATTTTTAATGTTTCCTTGACACTTGTCCATGTTTTTCATCACTATAACTACCCCTTCACAACTCTCCCCCCTTTCCTCAATAAAAGCCCTCCCTTATAACAAGTGAGTATAATCAGTTAGAATAAATTCACACATTGGCTGTCTGAAAAGGTGTCTCATTCTGCACCTTTAGGTCATCACATCTCTCCCAAGAGGTGGGAAGTAGGCTTCAGCCTGAGCCTTCTGGAGGCATGACTGTTCATTGAACTGACTTGAGTTCTTAGTCTTTTGCAGTTGTTTTCCTTTATGTTCTGGTTTTGCTCATTTCCCTCTGCATCAGTTCATGCAAATCTTCCTAGTTTTCTTGAAATCTGCCCCTTGACAAGTATAAGATGGTCGAGAAGCATATTTAAGTAGCAGTACATGTGAAAAGAAACTGGACTTTCAATTGACTGGAGAATGAGTGGATGCTATGACATGGAGTCTGCAAAAGCTAATGAGATATCAGGGTTCATTCTTCTTGTCTTGAATTCAAGGGGTTTTTTTTTTGGAGGAGTGGGGGCTTTTTTAGCCCAACATGCTGAATATTAGCCATGAAACCCATCTCTTTCCCAGTTGATAGGCAGAAAACCAGTCACAACTGCCAGCCAGTGACTCCTGAGTTTCTAAAGTTAACCCTCTAAGATTGGAGATGTCCTCTCTGTCTCTTCGACTGACCCAAACCACCCCTGCCCTTTGGGTTCATGATCATATATTTAACATGGTGGTTCCCAGGGAGGAGGCTGGACTGAGGGACACAGAAGGGCAGAGAGCACTCATGTGCCTACTCTAAAGCCAATCTGGCTGCGTTTGTATAGAGGATTTGTGTCAGAACTGCAGTAAGTGATGAGTGTAAAAGAATCAAGATTTAAAAACAGTCTACCTCGAGCCATGCAGATGAACTAGTCAAGCTTTTATTAAGCACTTACTTTGTGCCAGGCACTGGGCTAAGCACTGCTCCCCCTACATGTAGGTGAAAGTTAGACACTGTGAGGGATTAAGGCTGGAATGAGGACAAACTGAGGAAGACACCTGAGATCCTCCCCTTGCAGCTTTGGTTCCCTGGGTCCTTGGAAGAGGTGGATGGGACTGCTTTCTGTCAGGGTAACCCAGTCATCCTCTCTCCATAGTCTCTTGGCCCAGAGCTCCCACTCTTTAGCCAAGCCTCAAGAAGGTCTATCTCTGCCCTCAAGAATCCTAAGTAAGGAGGAGGTCAGGATTGGACCTAGCAGATCTGTTTGAGAACTGACTCATGGCTACCTTCCACATGCCAGTAAAGTGTGAGCTTAGGTCCCTGTAGCCTGGTGGTCAGGGTTGGCTGGGCCAGTGGACGTGTTTGGAATCTGGAATCTTTATGTTTTCGTTTTAGCCAGTCGACTCCAAAGATTTCAGGAGGTATCCTGGCGTAAAGAGTTGGTAAGCCCAGTGTTAACAGACTGAGATTTGGAGTCAAATATTTTGTCAGTTTTTTCTGCCCCTTTTTTTTTTGTCTTGTTATTGCTGTGGTTTGTTTTTTTTTAATATATTTTTCTTCAACCTGTGAGGTTTAGTGGATAAAGTGCTGGGTCTAGAGTCAGGGAGGCCTGAGTTCAAATCCAGTCTTAGACACTTAATAAATGTGTATTGATTGATTGAACCTGGGCAAGTCATTTAACCTGTTTACTTCAATTTCCTCATCTGTAAAATAATAGCATCTGCCTCCTAGGGTTGTGGTGAGGATCAAAAAAACTTAGCATAGTGTCTGGCACATAGTAAGCACCAAATAAATGTTAGCTATTATTGTTATTAGTATTAATTATTTCAGAGTCCTGGGGATATCCTGGTATGGAAACTCCCTCCAGCAAAGCAGGTTGACAAGTCCTCTGTAATTCCTAGTGGTAGAGTTGCCAAATGAAATTTCATAAGGCCAAATGCAAAGCCCTATAAGTGCAGCAAAGCAACTTGGACAAGTAGAAGATGGGAGGGAGGCATGTCTAGGCAGTCTGGGCTTTTACTGGCCTGGAGGCTGAGATGATGGAATGACACGTCATCCCCAAAGCTAATGGGATGTTTGGTTGCAGTGGGCTACTCTTGAGTCCTCAGAAAACCAACCAGCACTATGCCAAGCCACTGGCTGGGGAGCCTGTCAACCCACTAAACCTGGAGTCGGCTTCTCCCTCTTTCCTAATTAGCATGAGCCCACCGCTCATTAGCATGTGAGCCCCTCGAGGGTATAGACGGGACAGGTGTTTGCTAGTCCTCAGGGTGCATCCTACTCTCTCCGCCAACCCCAGCTTCACTGCTTCTTTTTCCCCGTGACTATGTCTTCCATGGAGTGACTCTAGCGATGCTGTTCTCTTAATAAGGGCTTCTTGGTTGATTCTATTTGTCTGTAACTGCCTCTTCTAGGATGATGGATAAGCTAAGAGTCTATAACGCTTTGCAAAATGCCTCACATGCCTCCTCCCATACGAACCATACAACAACCTGGTGAAGTCGGTGTTTTAATTATCCATCCTTTACAGATTAAAAAACTGAGGCTAAAAAAGGTTGTGACTGGTGCCCAGGATCCCAGACCAGGGTTTGAGGAAGGATTTGGAACTGGGGCTTCCTGAATGCGAGGTCAGGTATCTATCTACTAAAATACCTAGAACTCTCCTACGTAACAAGGCAGTACAGTCGAGTAAAACAAAGCAACAACTCAATCGTGTGTGGCAATGTATGCCTTATTCAGCACCTGTAGCCCCCCACCTCTGTCCAAAGGAGCAGGCATGACGCGCTGTCGGAAGGCTGGAGGCAAGTCACTGGTAACCACATTGATCAGAGTTCTGAGGTCTTTCCGTGTTGCTGTGGTCACCCTGTGAATTAGCTTTCTTGGCTCTCCATCCCCTCTTCCTAGTCCCTCCCTCCATCCTCCTTCCCAGTCTTCTCTCTCCGGGTGCCCCGCCCCTCCTCTGGGGCCTCCCCATCACGGGCCCCTTTCCCCTCCCCTCCCCTCTTCTCCACTCCCCACTCCCCACTCCCCACTCCCCAGGTTGGGTGGGGAGCTGAGCCACCGAGATGTGCAGACCTCCGAGGCATCATAGAGGGGTTCCGGAAGCTCTCAGCAAGGGGCTGCGGGCTTCCTCGGCTCTCTGGCCAGTGGGGGCACTTCCTGCCACGCCAGCACCAGCTCTGGGCTCGGTGAGTGTAGGGTGCTGGAGCTTGGGGCTCCAGAGGGCTGCGGGGGAGGAGGGGCGGGGCACCAGGGAGAGCGCGGAATTTGGGTACCATTCGCCAAAGTCTCCTCTCCCAGCTTCAGTTTCCACATCTGTAAAATGGGATGAGCTTGCATTACCCTCTTCTCCCCCGGCTGTTGTGGGGACACGTCCAATTAGCGTAGTGGGGGTGGGGGGAAGCGCTCCCAACTTGGGAGTCCCGGCACTTGAGTTCATATCCCGCCTCTGACAGTGACTACTTCTGTGACCTTGGGCAAATCGCTTAACCTCTCTCTTTGGGCCTCTGTTTCCTTTTTTGTAAAATTGAGAGAGTTAACCAGTGAGCCTCTAAAGCCCCTTCCAGCTCCAGATCTCCGATTCCATGAGCTTTATAACCTTTAGACATCGTGGAAATGTGAGCTGTTATTTCACAGCCTCTGACTTCCGCAGCCCGACCAATGCCTACTCATGCCATCTCCCCATCCCCTGCCTGTCCTCCTCGAGCCTCATTCATCCCTCCCCAACCCTGGATCCAAGCTTCCTGGAGGGGCGTGGGGGAGGGGAGAGGCAGGTGTCAATGTGCTGCGGTGGAAAAAATCCTGGCTTGGCCACCGTTTTCTATCTGGGACACCTGGGACAAGCCTTTACCTCCTTGGGTCCTGGGTTACTCATCTCTAAAAGGAGGACCTTTTCCAGTTCTGTATTTGTGATCCAATCAGGTTGTCACAAAGAAAAAAACCCTCCATTCCCCCTACACATTGTGTATGCATGCTCACTTCTTAATATCATAGGTGTAAGACTCTTGTCTGTATGTTTGCAGTTAGTACCTATGTCTGGTTGCTAAATGGCTGATGAACAGGTGATTAGGAAGAAGCAGAGTAGTGGATAGGTACAAATCTGTTTGTATCCAAGTGCATGAGGAGGCGGGATGTGTGTGGAATTCTGAGAGAAAATCAAGGATGCTTTAGTTATGGCCCTGGAAGGTGGAAGAGCCCTCAGGGCAGGTTGGGGGACCAGGCTGTTTGTGCCACTTGGAATCTCCAGCCTCCTTCAACATTCAGATCAAGCAGTATCTCCTCTGGGAAGCTTTGGTGACCACCCTCCCCGCCCCCACCCGTTCCCTTGTATTAGATGTTGAGATGTTCTTATCTGTGTACTTGTCTCTCCCAATAGAATCAAGCAAAGACTAGACTGCAGAGACTGCTTCCCTTCAGTCCCTTGTAGCCCCAGGGCATAGCCCACAGTAAGTGCTTAATAAATGAATGATTGTTTATTGACGCCTGAAATTTTTGTCCACGTGTCAGGATTTACAAAATGCTCTCCTTCCAACACTGTTATGAGAAAGCTGCTTGTTTTATCTCCAGTTTCAGAAAGGTTAAGTGACTCGCTGAGGATCATGTCGCCAGTAAAGGTCTGAGATGTCACTCGAACTTATGTCCTTCTGTTCTCTGGCCCAGGGCCTTTTCTAATGTGCCATGCTGACTTTCTTCCATCACAGGACCAACATTTTATGGTCAGGGGTATGCTGGAGCCAGCTCAGACTGGGAGTCGATTGTTAAATTTCTGTGTGAGCATTTTTGCCTCAGAAATCGGCAAATGCTACAAATCAGGGCTTAATGTATTGTTTTGTTGTTTGGGCTTAAGAAAGTGATAGAGGATGGGTCAGTAATGAAGATTAAATTTAAACCTGTGTTGTATATACATTTCCCCCCTGGAAAGCTTGTTGTAAACATTTCTCAGCACACCCCAAGGGGTACTTCAACTTCCATACCTGAAATTAAATTTACATTTTTCTTCTATTTGAGATACATGGTTAGGTCCTCCACTGTATCTCCACTCTTTGGGAAACAAGGCCATAAATTTACCCCCAGGTCTCATTTGCTTATGTTTCTTTGTAACTGTCTTCTAATTATTTTATCTATGTATTATGGAACAGGTTGTAAAAACCTTGAGGGAGGAGAGCAGGTCTTCTTTCCCTTCCTGCCCACCTCCTTGCTGTTAGTGTAAAGTAAGCCTGGTCACCTAGGGAGGTGCTCAGTAAATGATCATTCATTGGTCAGTTTCTTGTCGAATCAATCAATGCCTATTCTCTTATTTTGATGAGGGGCCATGGATCTTGGTGCCTGATATGCACCAGGCTGGGATCCTGGGCCTCTGGGATCTGGTTCTCTGACTCTTAACCTTTGAGCATTTTATGGGACAGGGCCGAGCCTCTTAGGTTGGGTCATAGCCTTGTGATCTTACAGTTTCTATTTCAGTGCCAACTCTGGTTCTTTTCATAGTGCCTGACTGGATAGAGCCTTGTAATGTCTCCTGTGGGATGGCTTGCCCTTGCATCAGATCGCTTTAAGTCCAGGTGGAAGCCCCTGAATGGATTTTCTTTGGGTTCCATACAGGGGAGCCAAGCAGGAAATGAATGGTGTAGAAACAAAAAGCGGAAAGGAAGCTTTGCTACAAACCAGTTTTCAAAAGTTAAGAAGACGAGATACTATCAGTATTGTCTTCCCCTTCCATACACATGCTGCTGTTCATTTTTAGGAGGCACATGGCAAAAATCTTTATTTCATATCACTTGCTGTAGCAGAGAAAATGACAAATGACCTAACCGCTCTCTTAAGTGAAGGTAATTAAACAGGTCCTTGTGAAGTTAGTGGGAGATGAGCCATTTCTGATTCAGCCTGGATAATTAGGACAGGTTGGTTTTTTTTGCCATCTTATATTAAGGGGACAATCCCTTCCCCCCAGTTCCCCAGCTGACAGTGATTAATGTTATTTAACTGATTCCCTCAGAATTGTAAAGTGTGTTTGTAACATGCTGTACATCCAGATTTGGTATTTCCTCAAAGAAACCATGTGAGATCACTAGGGTAGTTATCACTATCCTCATTTTACAGATGAGGAAACTGAGGCTCAGGGAAGTTAGATGACATATTCCAGGTAAAGCAGCTAATTAGTGGCAGCAGCAGGACCTGTACACAGTTCTTTTTCTTCAATAGTGAAAATGCATATTTTAAAAATAAGCAGGATCACTTCAGAATTTTTAATTTAATTTTAATTTACTTTTTAATCTATAGTAAACCAACATTAAATGGAGGCTTTCAGCTAAATCATTATGGGGCATTGGAATTTTATGATATTCAGCTAACTTATTCTTTGTCTTCCTTTTTACTTATAAGACTGGAAAAGAAAGAGCTTGCTTGCATTTTCATTTTCTCCAAACCTTCCCCCATTTAAAATTTTGGGATTAATTAGTTCAAAGGAAGAAAACATTTTTATTTCCTCTCAGCAGAAATGCTACTGCTTTTAAAAGCTGAATTCTTTATTTAAATAGCAGTCAACAATTTGCTGGTAATAGCTTTTCCTTAAAACATCATTAGGGAATACATTTTTAAAAATAATTCAGTCTTGCTCTTGAAAATTTTTTCTGGGTAGTATAAAAGAGGGAAGAGTGCTAGCCTGGGCCATAGCTGACTTTTTCCTAACAGTTGCAGATTGACCTTATTATAAGCTATTAAGGCTATTGTTGAGAAAATGAGCTAGAAACAGGACCAGGTGTGATCTGGTGGCAAGACTTCTGTACTAAGAGAACCATGGATGTTATGCCTCAAGTCCTATACAATCTGAAATCCTGATCGTAATTCTTTGGTAACATCTTCCAAAACCATGATTCCCAACTTTGGGGATGTGGTGTGGCGGGGAGTGGGGATGGGGAAGGGGAGGGGCCTTAAATCCTTGTGGTCACCAAAGCATTGTCATTTTCTAGATGGCCTAAATAATGCTGCTTTGGTGGATAAAATGCAAAGCCATTATTAATAGCACCTCTGACTTTGTAGTCGCTTTCAATGTCAGTGTCTTTGATCACTCACTGGATGCTGATAACACAACTACTGTCACATGGAGGACTTTATAAAGGGGTCCTTACTGTCTTTCTGGCATTTCCCAAGCTGAGATATATTTAGACTGGTTTGTTAATAATTTTCACTCCCTTCTCCAAACTTAAAACTTTGGGTTAAATTATTTTAAAACCTTTGTTTATCATATGCTGATTGCTCCATAGGTCATATTGCATTGAGTTCATGGGAGCAAAACCAAAGGCGTCCCCTCCTTTCTCATCCTTTGACTGCTTCTCAACCATCATCAAAGTCGAGCGAAGCTTTGGCAGCTCCAGGATCAGGACCTAGTGCTCCGCCTCAGGCCTGGGTCTCCACTGTCAGACTTCAGCCTCCTTTTGTTCCTTCCTTGTCTGTTTTGACTCTCTTCCTTTGAATCTGAGCAGTCCAAGGGTGAGGACACTTGCTCTCCATGTTTGTGCTTTGGAGGATCTTGGGCCCATATCTGTTCACCTTCTTCTACTCTCAGGTCTCATAGAAGAAGGCCATGTCTATTGTGAACCCTAGATAACTTGAGATGGTGTGAAGGGAAGGGCTGAGTGGTGTTATGATGGTTTCTTGTTGTTTTATATTTGGATTACTTTCAAGAATCAATCTATTTTCTCTTAGGTGATGTGCCTGCTGCTGCCAGGTGACTCGTTGTACCTCATTTGGGATCATAGAATCATAGATTTGGAGCTGGAAGGGATCTTAGGGGCCATCTAGTTTAGCCCCTTCATTTTGCAGGTGAGGAAACTGACGCCCAGAGAAGTTAAATGGCTTCTTCATGGTCGCCAATCTTGGTAAAATCAGAGGACGGTTAGAATTCTTTTTACGCTTTTTATTTTCTCTTATAAAAGCTTAGCACAGTACTGGGCACATTATAGGTACTTAATAACTGCTAGCTGACTGACTCCTTGACTGACTGACATAAATAGTGTACTTTAATAGTTTTGCAAACACTTATTTTTAAAACGATCTTTATACGCAGCAAGTTTACAAAGCAAAAAACCCACTCAGGTACAACTTAATACCTTTCTCACTAATCTCCAGAGATCCTCCACTTATTCAACCTCTAGTCTGATGTACAGAATGTAAATTGTATTTTCCTTTTAAA